TATCTCTAAAAATGATGTTTGGTGGTTCATAGATTCTAATTTATATAATTGTTTCGAGAATTCTTTTAAGTTTCTTGACACTCAAAAAGTTTGAGAATGTGCACTTAGAGTTAAAATTATGTACTACCTTAGTCCCCAAATACTATACTTAGCAATCCCTCAAAGTTTGGTACATTTTTTATACATTTTTAATACTATCTATAAAGTTATCCGTATACTACTCTTACTTTATTATGCACTTCAAATGTGAAAAATTGACTGTTGCACTTTTTTAAGAACATGATTTTTTTTTTAGAAAGTGCACTTTGAGTGCAATTGGAAAGTTTTGGATCGGAGAAGCCTTCCCAATTGCAATTGAGCTCGTTTGATGACTCTGTTTTTTGACTTATCAAACTTATTAGTTAACTTTTTCATCAAAGTAAGGTTAAAATTACTTTTCTGTTTGTATTAGTTGAAGTTATTGTAAAGGATCATTTCAACTATTTTCATATGAAGTATATTTTCTTTATTTATAAATAATAATAAAATTATTATTTTTGTCATAAATTAGTAGAATCGGCCAATTCAACCACTTCAGCTAGAACATCATAAATTTAAGCAGAATGAACCGATTCAACCAATTTCAATGTTAGTACCAAATCATGTGTCATCGTCTCATTTTTTTTTGTGACATAAAAAAGTTTACTCATGAATACTTTTAAAAACTATTTTTTAAGTCATGAATATGAATATGAATTTATGCAATGAGTTCATTTAACTCTCTATAAGTTAATGTTGCAATGAGTTCAGTTAATGTTTCTTAATAAGATTATTGAGCTAAAATACAATTGCATAACCTGTGGTATTGATTTTTCGATATTTAAATTGCACCCATAAAACTTTAATAATATAACTATACTTGAAACTCAAATTTTCATAAATCATCGTATGGATCATACTATATACTCCGTATAAGTCTATAACAAAAAAAGCAAGTTAACATTTGAGTAACATATCAATTATATAGACATTATACATATGTACTCAATTATCTTAATTAGAAATATAGAATATAATGACATATTTTGATCCATAGGTGTATGTATATGCATCTTTTTTACCAAATATCTAAAGAAAATACTTTCAAAATAAAATTATTGATATTCATACATTTTTAAATTGAAAAAAAATATTTAAAGTAAGATTTTTTTATCGTCATTAAAAATAAGATTTTCAAAACGGTACGTGGTTTATATTTGAATACGTGTAACTTAAGTTAATTTATAGTAGCTTTTTATTAATCATAATATCACACCATATATGCTCAAAATATTATCTCTCACTTTTCAAAGGATAAATTCCTAAAATGGGAAAAAAGGTGAAACATCATTAAATGAAAGTGAAAGATTTTTTTTACAATATTAAAATACACATTTCTAAAAGTGAAAGAATTAAAACAGCAAGACTGCATGTGTTAAAAATGGGTAAATACACATTATCCTGAATGATATCTCAATATTATGTTCACCTTTCTAATTAAGGATATTTATAATTGGAATCGATTTTTATCTCATTTATGAAAGTAAAAGTTATTTTTTATTTGTGTATATATATTAATATAATTTTGATATATTTTGGCCAAGGATTTCAGCTCTCGAAAAGTTTTATTATATTAATTACATACTACTTATGTCCCGATTACTTACGGCACGATTATTTACACAATAATTAAATATGTTAATATGATTGTGTTTTACGAAATAACTGTGATGATTATATAATATGATGGGGCTCCTTGATGATAACTGCGATGTTGTAGCTATTTTACTTTTAAGGCTAAAGAATCAAATAGACTCTCGAACTAACTTGAAAAGTGCAAATCACCCCTTATATAGAGGGCTTTTTCCGGCTATCGCCATTTTACCATTATACTATCTTACTTTATTACGCTGTTCAAATGTGAAAAATTGACCATTGCACTTATATAAGAACATGGTTTTATAGAAAGTGCACTTTGAGTGCAATTGGAAAGTTTTAGTGAAGCTTTCCTAATTGCAATTGAGCCCGTTTGATGACTCTAATTTTTTACTTATCAAACTTTTTAGTCAAATTTTTCTATTAGTTGAAGTTATTGTCAAGGATCATTTTAGCTATTTTCATACTTTTTTCTTTATTTAATTAATAAATTTTTCTTTATTTATAAATAATAGGTAGTTGTTGACATTTTAGAAAGCTTTACATTAGTTGTGACTTTTAAGGAATTCTAATTTTGTTTAATTGTAATCAAACATGTATTCTTAATTTTTAGGAATCCGAATTGTAATCTACGAATAAGTTTTTGAGAATTAGGAATTCAAAATTGTAATAATCTACGAATAAGGAGTTCTAAATTGTAATGCCCTTTTACAGTAAAAAAAAGAGCCTTTATAGTAATATCGTACGAAGTAATAATCTTATCTAGTTTTTAGGGGGTTTAAATTATTATATCTAAATTTTAGAACATATATGATGAGGGAGTTGCTTAGAGCATGACACATGATAAAACTTTTCATAATTGTATCTTTGAAATGTATGATATATAGATATAGATATAAATATAGATATATATTATATATGTGTCCTATAACTTTTTTACTTGTACTACAGTGGTTAAATATATCAATTTCATAACTTTTACAATCTTTCATATGACACCAATATTGAATATATAAAAATACAAAATAATTTTCAAAGTGCTAAATTAATTTTATTTTTAAAAAATAGATATATTTCTTAAAGTGTTAAATTATTTTTCAAAATAGATATATAAAAACTGTTAAATTATTTTTTTATTTTTATATATTTAATATTGGTCTCATATGAAAGATAATAAAAAATTATAAAATATGATATATTTTTTTGTAACCATCATAGTACAAATGAAAAAGTTATAACACTTTAAAATAAAACTCAGATTTAATTTTTTAAATTACCCAACTTTAGGACGTTGTCTAAAAAAACGTAACATGAAGTGTAATCTACCTAAAAAACGTAACATGAGGTGTATTATTTATAGATAATACCGTATCATACTCGTATAGCTTTCCTTTAATTTGAAAAAAGTTGTATAATTTTTTAAAAAATAGATGTTTTTGAAGTGTTAAATTATTTTTTATTTTTGTATACTCAATATTGGTGTCATTTGAAAGATAATAAAAAGTTATAAATTTTGATATAATTTTTATTACAGTTAGAGTACAAATGAAAAAGTTATAACAGTTTAAGAAAACATGAGGTTTTTATTTATGGAGTCCTAAATAATAGGAGTTGTACATAACTTTACTACAAATTCTCATAAGACATACCGTATCATACTCGTGCATAACTTCCCTTTAATTTAAAAAATGATTTTAAAACAATAATTGTGGAATTGACATGTGGCAATACTTTCCCTAATTGTAACCTTCAAATGTATTATCTATATTTTTGTATACTCAATATTGGTGTCATTTGAAAGATAATAAAAAGTTATAAATTTTGATATAATTTTTATTACAGTTAGAATACAAATGAAAAAGTTATAACAGTTTAAGAAATCATGAGGTTTTTATTTATGGAGTCCTAAATAATAGGAGTTGTACATAACTTTACTACAAATTCTCATAAGACATACCGTATCATACTCGTGCATAACTTCCCTTTAATTTAAAAAATGATTTTAAAACAATAATTGTGGAATTGACATGTGACAATACTTTCCCTAATTGTAACCTTCAAATGTATTATCCATAGATTTTATATATAATACATTTGGAATATATAATCTAAATTGTAATTATTCCATCTTCAATACTTATACGATGCATATTAATAATGGTAATAATTATAAATATTATAACATTTATTATTATCATTATTATCTCATTACTAACACTATTACTATTATTATTAAAACCATAATTTGTAATGATTATCTGTAATATTTGTAGTTGAAATTTAAGTATAATAAAATGAAATGTTATGAATCATATATTTCTTTCCAAAAAGGGAATGTGACTTACTTTGGGACAATCTAAAAAAGAAAATAAAACAAGTAAAATACCGAGTAAAAATAATTTGAAAGTAACAATTTTATTTTTGAGCTTTAGTTCAAACATCATCAATCTCAAACTAGTGGTGGACTCTGGCCGGGTGGCCCGACCCAGAACCGGCACTGTTCCGGCCCGTCCCGACCCGGTGGCCCGGCCAATGACCGGTCCGGATAGGCCCAACCCGAGGGATTTCCGGTCCGGGCTCGGGTCACCCAAAACATGAACCGGCCCGGCCGGTCAGGGCCCGATTCCGGGCTTTTTTTCATTTTTTTAAATCCCCGGGTTGGGCCGGGTATTTTGGGCCATTTGGGGTGGTTTGAGGGGTTGGGGTTAGGGAGGGTCGGGAGTTAGGGAGGTCGGGGGTAATTAGAAAAAGGAAAAAAATGTAAGAGGCCCGGACCCGGACCCATTGGCTACTCGGGCCGGTCCCGGGCCCAACATTTCGTAACCGGCGGCCCGGTCGGACCTAGGCCCGGCCCAGGCCCAAACCAGCCCGAGGCCACCACTATCTCAAACCTATAAAAAAATACTTCATCCGTCCCTTATAATTTTGTCAACTTTTCTTTTCTGAATCTCTTATTAACTTTGTCACTTTCTCATTTAAGTGAAGAATTTATGATTCCAATTAATTCTCTTATATTTCATCCATCACACAATTTTTACTTTATTAATTCTCGTGCCGGTCAAACATGGCAAAGTTATTAGGGACGGAGGGAATAGTTAGCAAATCATGATCCCAAGCTCGAGTTGGCTCAAACTAAGCTCATCTCGAGTTCGAGTCCCATTTATTTAGCTCATCCGTACTCAAGTTCGAACAATCGAACTCGTGAATTCTTATCAAACTCAAACCAACTCATTTGCAAGTTGCAACCCTGCTTGTGTAACTTCATAGGAACAAGGGCACAAGAACTGCTTTTTTCTGTTTATATTCTCTCGCAATTCAAATGTTCACTCGAGTAAATTAATTTAGAGCCCGTTTGGTAGCACCAAAATCGGCTGTTTTGGCTGATTCTGTTGAAATTTATGATATTCTGACTGGAGTGGCTGTTTTGGCTGATTCTGCTGATTTAAGAAAAAAATATTTTAAAAATATATTTTATTAATAAATTAAAGAAAAAATTATATGTAAAAATAGCTAAAATGGTCCTCCACAGTAACTTCAGCCAATACAGCCAGAAAAGTAACTCCAACCTTACTTTTTCGGCTTATTACACAATTCAGCGCGCGAAAGTAAAAGTTACGTGTTTGGTGAAAAAGCTGGCTGATAAACCTGATAAGCCGAAAACAGAGTTCTCCAAACGGGCTCTTAATTTCACATCTTCATCACCTGCACTTCTAAGTTGTCTACATATACAGATATACATTGCCAGTATGTAAAATAAATTATAGATTACGTAAAAGCAAGGACGAAAATGCTTTGGAATAAAGTCATTCACTTGATCGATCACCTCCCATCATAACAAAACAAAACTTGATATAAAAGTTTGAATACCCCTCAAATAGCAAAATCAGAACTAACAAAGAGAGTTGCTGGAACCAAAACATACTAAACTGCCTCTCTCTATTAATACTATAACCGCAGGAACAAAGAAGTCTTGGACTGCCTAGAAATACTCCTGTCTCTGCATGGGGGTCAAATTTACTTTCCAGCAATATGCTTGGCTTGTGAGTGGGAACCCAGAGCACTTTCAGAGCCAAAAGTCCTGAAGCAAAATGCAATTAGAGAATTGGTAGTGGTAGTTGATTACGGGATTGAATAGAACTCTGAATTTGGGCAAGCCCTTTATGTTTTTACCTATTGCATTCTTTGCATTGATGGGAACCTCCTGATTTTGGAGTCTTCTGAGCAAGAGGTGTCTTTTCAGTTTTCTTTGAAGGATGTGGTGTAGCTACATGTGTATTACCCTTCTTCCCATCTGGGACATCCATCATTTTAAAAAAAAAATCAATATTTATTTATTTATTTATTTATTTATTTACAAGACATCCATAGTTGCAAATTGTAATAGAAAAGTGATTTATTGGACATTCAAATAAAAACACCACACACCATAGATTAAATGCATCAGAGGAGATAAGCAACACACTAACCAGTTTTCTGCTGGGGAGTAGTCAATTTGACTTTTTTGGCAGGAACGGGTGTTTTCTTTGCAGAAGATTCAGGCTGTCTTTTCTTGCCACTTTCAACCTTTCAACCATATAAGACCAATCAGATAGCAGATATTGAGTGAAGCCAAAATCTTAGTAAAGTAGGAAAAGGTCATTGTCATTTCTATAATACCTTCTTCGGTGTTTCCTGTGCCTCCTCTTCTTCAGAATCCTCTTCTTCAGAATCACTTTCATCCTAGAGAGAAAGAAAAACATAATTAGCAAACGATGAGGAAAGAATAAGACTACTTCATAGCAAATTTATATCAATTACGAATATAGAATAATATGGTTATGCTAAAATACAGCATCATCATTTGAAATCAAGACATCAAACTTGCATTGCCAAATCACACACCATAAGCACAAACAACAAAGTGAAACACCTTACAAGCCTAGGTATCCCCATTAGCAGATATGAGAAAGTCTGGAACAAGAACTTCCATAACAAGCACATAAAAATTTCAGAGTACAACATAAGGCCTCTGTTATTTGCATTTTCAGTACAAAAACTGATGCCAGGACAAATTATTATTATTATTAGTAAAAAGTAATATTAACAATGAAAAATAGTAGATGAGTTCAACAAAACGAAACTAGTAATGCAGTTTATAAACCATAGATTAAATATATGCATTACCTCAATTGATGCTCCTGAGTCAGAATCATCATCATCATCTTCCATTTCATTGTCTTCCCCACTGCTTTCATCTTCTTTGTCATCCTCCACTCCTTTCTTGGGTTCCGAAATTTTCACCTTCTTCTTACCTGCAGCAGAACCCTTGGCAGCATCTTCCTTTTCGACAAAGGAAGGTTTCACATTCTTTTCATTGGCAAGGGGTTTGCCTAAAAACAAAACACAAATTCTAAGTTTAGTAAAAATACAGAATTATGGTCAGCAATGAAGTCATTCAGTCTTTTGCACCATTAGCTGCTTTGGTTTCAATTTGGAGAGGTTCTTCGGTATCTGTATCTACAAGGAAATGCTGAGTTAGTGCCATGCCATCAAGGATTGATTTCAGTAAGGATGTAATATAAAGAGTAGAGCTGAACTGAATACTGCACTGACCATCTTCATCATCACTCATTTCATCTGAACCCACATATCCATGAAAGTAGACACTTCCATTTTTCCAGTTGTGTGATATTGTAATGTCTCTCTCAAAATACAAGTCAAATTGTTGCTGTGGCAGCTTCTCAGTGTTGAGTGTAGCAAGAACATATTTTTTATCATCAACAGTGACGTACAAACAAATAGATTCGGGGCCTTTCTCTTTCTTAACCTCACCAATATTGGCCTGAAGATCAATAACAACATGAATATTGATCAGAATCCATCATAAAGCACCACATATGTTGGTTTATAGCTAGTTTACCTGAGAAAGATGCAAGATCTTCTCCATGCCCAGCTCCACAGCTAGTGGCTGTCCACTTTTGACCTCAGCACCTGAAAAATGAAAATGTTACTATGAAGTGACAATGATGAGATTTTTAGTTGCAGTTTTGGAATAGAATGATAGAAAAGATAAAGTGTAAACACACTCGCACATGAACAATTTGTACTCTGGTTTTAACCTAACTGCTACTAGCCTACTACCATGGAAACAGCTAACAACTACTACAGTTGAATATGGTTACATTGAGACTCAATGCAAGCAAAATGACTTCAGAGATATAATTAACTTACTTTATAATTAAATGTAAGGAAATATGTTTTATATAAATATAAAAAGTAGCCATGTAAACAATAACTGGTTTTTATCTATTAGCAGGACCAACTAAACCATTGACAGAAGGTTATTTTACTGTTGATCATCCAACATGAAAACACAGTGGAGTTACAAATTCCGAGGGTATCAAGAGCAATTCCTTTAAAGCATTGACTCAAAACTAATATGAGCTGAACACCAAATCAATCCTTAGTATCAGAGTGGAGAGCAGCAAACATGCAAGGGGCGAGAGGTATGGACACATTCAAACACGGATGTTTTATGCACCAGACTGCAGACACATACGTGCAGATGCAGATGAAACAAAGTAGAATGAAGAAACAAACACGACCAACTGGATTCAAGTAACAGGTACTACTGAACAATTATTAATAAGCTACAAATTCGAAAATGTAAGGAAAGCGAGGGGAATCAACACAGAGACGCACACTCTAACCGGTAGATTCGTCACATAAACAAAAATAAAACAAGGTTGAAGAAGCGTTACCCCAGAACTCCATTTGATGAAGAAAAAAGGAGAGCGACTGAGAGAGATAGGGTTTTACGACGAAGCGAGCAAGCGAGCGGATACAGATAATTTTAGGGTTCTAAAGTGTACAGAAAAATACGAGTATATATAAAAGGTAGACAGGAGGAGGGGGCACCAGGGTAAGCGAACCAACGATTTGAATAGGGCTTTAGCAAATTTCAGCAACCATTTAAGTTGGGCCTTACCAAATTTGGGCATGTCTGAAAATTGGTCCAACAGACCTAACCCACTTCATGTGTCGAGTAGGGGTATGCACAATTGCACAGGTCCAAAATTTTAACGATCCACCGAAACGGACCTGTTACATCCTGGTTTGACCCGGACTGGACTGGAACCCGAAATCTTAAAATTCTTATGATTGAGATCCAGACCTTTTTGTACCTGACCAGTCTAGACCGATCCATTCTGGTCCTATTCAGGTCTAAAGTATGGTCCAGCCCAGCTAATGCACACTCATGGTCTTGACCTTTGCAAGTTGTAATCATTGTTTTTTAATGTTTTAATCAAGTTTTTTTTTTGAATTAATGCTAATTAATTAATTAATTACGAAAATAATGCTAGGTTAAAAGTATTTACCGATCTACTGATGGGTTTAACCATGGTCGGGGAAAGTCGTCAAACCGTTTGGCGACTCATAAGTCGCCATCCGGTTGGGCGACTTATGAGTCGCCAAACGGTTTGACGACTTACCCACTGCCATATTAAATTCATATCTATCTATAAATAATACATTTTAAAGATACAATTATGGAAAGTTTTGTCACATGTCATCTTCTAAGCAAACACTCATTATAATATTGTAGATTTTTTTTTTCAAATTGAGTATATTAATTAATTATACTTCCGTTAGAATAGTATATAACTTCGATTAGAACTCACCTTAATTTAAGACTAAGCAGAATCCTACGTAACAACCAATACTTAAAAAACTTTTTAAATAGCTATAAATTCTTATTCAAAAAATAAAATTTCATGTTTATTTTAAAGTACTATAACTTTTCTGTTCGTATTCTGATTGTTACAAAAATTATATCAAATTTCATAACTTTTTTATTATTTTTCAAATGACACCAATATTGAATATTAAAAAAAATAACACTTGAAAAATACTCTCTTATGAATTTGATATTTTTTGCGATAGTTGGAGTACAAATAAAAATGTGACAACACTTAAAAAAACATACTCCGTATGTTTAAAATATAAATCTAAAATGTTTTTGGCATTTACATGGATGAAATTATTATCTAAGCTTCAATATTTTAAATAAAAAACATTAACAAGTATGTTTAGAATGTTAATTGCACACTCAAAAATTATTACTGCCATCAACCCACTAACATTGGGACATGAGGGAATGACAAGATTATTAAGAATAATGAGTTTATGTGATTGATATTGAATTGATAAAGTAAGAATAAAATAAAAATGATTTGGAGTCACACAAACTTTATGAAATTTGGTATGAACAATATTGGTGGATTTTCCGAAAATAAAAACGGGACAATCTAAATGGGACGGGGTAGTATAATATTTAAATAATTTACTTAAAACTATAATTATAGTGTAATTTTATAAAATTACATTTGTGAAAGAAAAAACATATGATTTCGTTCAAATAAAAAATAAAAAGAAAAAAATATGATTTTGATGTTAAAATAACTCTTTACATAAAGTTGGGGTGTTTACCCTACATCCCTCAAAAGCTCGGGGTCTTTATATTATTTCCTCCCGGTATATATTAATATAGTCTTAATATATGTTGGTCGAGAGTTTCAACTCTCGGAAAGTTTTATTAATTACATATATGATATCGTGACACTAAAATGGGTGTTTAAGATTTAGATAAATAAGCTAGATTGTATATAAAAGGTACATGATAATTGTTTTGTTTATGGATGTAATTTTAATACTCCCTTCATCCCATTAGAAGGTTCCCGTCCACTATTCATATGGTCAACTTAAATCATTTTTAATCTCTTGCTTTATATATCAATTTTTATCAAATTGACATTTTTTAATCACACTTTATAGAGGTTTTAATGTAGTTTCTGAATATGTGAATTTTATTTACTAAAAATAATCAGAGCGTGAACAGGGATTAGGTTGCTTTATCATCAGTCAAGCATCGTGAACCGAAACAGGAATCTTCTAGCTGGACAGAGGGAGTATAATACTCCCTCCGTCCCATAAAATTGTTCCCGCATTGACTTGGATCAGAGTCTAAGAAAGTGAGAATAAAGTGGAAATGTATGGTTGTGGTTGAGTAAGAAAAAAGTAAATGAATGGTAGCCACAAAAAACTTTCCAAAAGGTATGTTTGGAATTAGTTCAAAAATAAGATATACTTAATAAATTAGAACATGCATTTAAAACAAATGTTATAATCGATTAAATAAGTGATTTTTCCTTACTAAAACTGATAGAGTATTTAATTCGAGAGAGAAGTGAGAGCTAGAGGGAAAAAGTGAGTAATTAATATTTCTCAACTCCCTATAACTAGCCCTTTGGGGTCTATTTATAGGTAAAAATGTGGATTTGGGTCCCTAGCCTTGGGCTTAGGAGGCCCGTTACAATTTGGACTGAGGGGAAGAAGGTGACTACCCCCACTGCTGCTGAGAACGAGAAGCTGACTACCCCGACTGTTGTGAAAGAGAATGTGACTGCTCTTCCAGTCGAGAATGTGGATGCAAACAAAACGTTGTAAGTACCTCTAACTCGTCTAATTCAGCCTGCTCTAAACCTGATCCATATATCATTATTAAGGAGCTTGAAGGGAGACTAGAGAATAATTACAATGCTCTAGTTAGACAATTAGAAAAGCAGACTTGCTCAAACATCAGGATAACTAATTCAGAGAAAACAATCACTAAGCCCACAGCTAAAGAACAAAAGACTGAGTGTTAGCGAAAAGAAACTAAGAGAGAAGCTTATAACTACTGAAAAGGAAAGAGTCAAATTTTTTTGGCCTAAACAACCTTCTTTATAAAACTAGGGATTCTCTACACCAAGATTAAAGAACTTGAAGACTTGTTAGCCAAAAGGGTCCAAACATGCCAGACTTATTTCCTTAACCAGCCTAAGGACACTAGTTTCTACAACTCCAAGGAAGGCCTAGGAATTGCCAATCCTCAGAAGCTGAAAGAGGTCAATTGTATCCAACTGTATGACGTTAGATGCATGAAAATAGGATTGACCAAACTTATGGCCTTTACTGGAGCTGAAGAAACAAATGCCCTCGAGGATAAAAAGAGAAAAGCAAAGTCTAGAGCTGAGATTCCTTTTGACTATACTAGTCTAAACCGGGGTTACAAACCCAAAGAGCCCTCGTTGACCCCTGATGATGAAGTTTTGACCTATCCTCCTGATAAAGAAGTTTGCAAGATGGAGAGGAACCTTCAACTTTTGTAGCCAAACCAACATACATTCCACGACTTATGAGAAAATTTGATGAGTTACAAGAATCTTTTGATAAAGAAAAACAGGCTTTTGAAATTGAAAGAGATTAACTTTTGAAAGAAATATCCTTATTAAAAATTTCCTCTCAGTCTAGCATAGCTTCTCAACCCTCTTCACCTTCTTCATCAGAAAAACATTTTGAAAATTCAACCAATAGTTTTAAGACTTCTTCCATTCACTCTGAGTCTCCTTCTCCAACAGGGAACCAAGTGAAGAAGAGATTAGAGAAGAGAGGAGAGTGGATTGAAGAGAAATTAATAAGAAGGAAGAGAGAAGAAGAGTCACGTCTAGAAAATAAGAATCAACGGTCGAGTGTTTTGTTTTACGTCAAGAATAAGTGTAGATCTAGCATTAGTGAGCCGTCAACTAGTTTTACTAGAAGTCCTTCTCCTAAGTTTTATAGTTCTAAGATATCTGTTATGGATCGTTGTTCTAATTGTTGTGCTTTGAATTGTGTTAAGTTAATGTAATGTTGTTGTTTTGAGTCTGATTCCTCTAATGATTCAAATGATTCAGTGGTTGTTAAGAAAAGTGTGAAGAGGCCTAATTCTGAAAAAATGAATGTTGAGGGTGAGATTGCCAAGTATTGTGATGGGACACTGAAGATCATCCGGGTGAAGATCCAACCAAAGAAAGAAGAAATTGAATGAAAACTTGCCAATGCCTCTGAAGATGAAATAACAGAGTTTGACAGAATGAACAAGGTGCTAGATGCAATCAATGAACGACTCGAAAAGAGAAGAATGTTGCGCCAATTTGAACATGCTCTAGCACTGCAAAGCAACTACTACAAGAGGCAGAAGAATCCACGAGAGTCGACAATGAACATGTGATCACAAAGGGGGAGAATGTTAGAGATATTTTTAGTGTTGTGATGGATGTATTTTATTTAGCCTCTTGTTAGTAATTATTATGTATTAAATAGGCCAAATATGGTAAAGGCTCCAAGGCCAAATTAGGCATGGGCCTCCTCAAAAGGTGTGCCCATATCATTGTAAACCTACCATTCTAAGGAGGCTATAAATAGGCCCCTTAGGAATGGATAGGTTAAGCTTTCCCCATTCTGATTATTCCTTGAGCCGCATAGCCTATTTGAGAAAATAAGTTTTTACGCTAAGTTTCTTCAACATTCTATAAAACTTCATCTCTTCAATGGAAAGTTTCACCCTTCACCTTTGATATGTTTTTCACATGTTCTAGACTAGGAAACAGGGACCTAACAACCAATACATTTTATTCCATTTTATGCCAGATAAAGAAATACAGAGTAATGCTCTTATGTAACTACGTGACCGCTTGATTTGTATGCTAGGAGCTTGATATGCATGTTTATTTACAAAGTAGAAATCTTCCCATGTTTGGAAACATGATAGAATTTTCCAAAATACGAAATTGTTATTTAGCCATTTGTTTGTGGACTGAATTTCCATGTATGTTGTAGTTCTTTGTTATGATTTATTTCAATCCATGTTTTATGCTTTAAGTGTTTGCTCTTAATTTTCATTGTTCTTATAGTCATCTATCCATTGCCTTTTCACATTCGTTTAACATTTACAATTACATACTGAATGTCATTATGATAGTTCTATTTAACTGCGCATTGCCTCTTACACTAGTTTAACATTTTCTATCACTTACTCAATGACATTACTCATAGTGACCAATTCATCA